AATATAAAAAATTATGAGACCAATAGCCGATATGTTACCTGATAGAATTTAACTCATCATTTAGATCACATTTAATATATTGAATCCATTGCCTTGTACAGTTTTCGTAAACCTGATCGTCTGGCTTCAGTCCGAATTCCACTGTGATAGTTCCTTTTGTCTCCCTACACTGGTAAGTCCAGGTCTCCTTCACTTTGACTTTTCTCCAAAATGGACATCCGTCTTTCAACTTTGTATCTATTTTGGATCAGTAAAACTTGATACGTTGAAAGTAGACTCCAGAGCTATCCATGCCCTATCAAAATAACAAAAATAAACATCCTTAATATTCCGTCACATTACACTGCAGGAATAAACAAATACATTTCCCCCTTCTCGTTAGGTCAGATAAATTCTATCCTAAATTCAAACAGATTCTACAGCTATCTAGTTTAACTGGCCTTCTCAGAACGTAAACAATTTTGTTTCACAAAATTAATGGTCAACTGAATGGCTATTCTAACAATCCCTGCTGACATTAATTCCAGGTTAATCGCAATTACACAAATTATTGAAATTCCTTTCTACTGTGTTTGTAACACATGAACTCAAATATAGGCCGGAGAATTCATATGGATTCTCGCATTTCAACGAAAATAAGACACAAAATTCGAAACACATAAACTCCACTAATAAAGGAACTCTAAGTTCAACAAGTCGTCAATGTTTGTATAAAGAAGAATAACGGACTCTGAGGAACGAACTTAACACACACACACATACACACACATACATACATACATACATACATACATACATACATACATACATACATACATACATACATACATACATACATACATACATACATACATACATACATACATACATACATACATACATACATATATACATACATACATACATACATACATACATACATGTGAATATTTGCTTGTAATGGTCTTGAATTTGTATAATTCACTTATAATTTTGATTATCTCTAGTTTTTGTTGCCTTGTGTTGATTACTATAACACGCATATCATCACTTTTCTGAATTTTGAGTTGTGTCATTTCTTTTCTTGTTACGATTTTTTTCATCTAGGACGTTTGAAGCTTTTTTGATAATCTGGGTTAACGGCACCTTCTGTGAATGTTCATAAATTGTTGCAGTGATATTTTTCAAATTTTGTTGAGTTCACCAAACCCAATATTTCGTTTTAGGTCTTCACATCTTTTCTCTACATTATCTTGAACAGGAAACCGCCTCGGATGCGGAAGGTCGTTGCTTTGGACCCCAGACGAGTTATACCAAAGACTTTAAAAGATGATTCAATCAGCTGCCTCGCTTTGCGATCAGCATTAAGAGGTTAGTGTTAGGACTGCTTGGCCTGCTGTCACGATAATGTAACTGGGTGGGTCATCAAACCACGTGTCTGCGGCATGATGCCCCAATGTTAGATATCACTATAAACTGTCAACACTGTAGACATCGTAGCGATATGACTGAGAAATTGTTAAATCTACGTTTAATATCTAAATCACACACACACACATACACACAAACACACACACACACACTTGAACAGGACATATTGATTGGTTACTCTGCCTACAGATACTCCGTAGGCATCAACTTAAACAGCCAATGTTTCAACATCTGACATGGTGTAAAGCCAATATTGTCAAAGCGTCAGTCTTATGTCAAAGTCGTTAATAACCTAAATGAATAGATTTGTTGAGGATTCCATCAATAATATTATACTTGGTTCTCAAGTCCACTATACATTGAACAAGCTATAACCAGACAAAATGCTAGACAGGTAAAATGCATTTGCATGATTAATTCATCTATTGATTTATGCCACAATATCCGATTGAGTGAGGCATTCGTCAATGTCAACATTTCCATCAAATAATAAAGGTTATCTTTTTGTCATTATGTTTGTACCGCCATTCAGTTGAGTTTTATGTTTGTTAATTATAGCTAGAAACTGATTACAGATTTTTTTATTTATGATTATTTTTGAGATTCCTTTAATAACTTGACAACTTTTAACTTTTTCAATCATATCCTGCATTCGATTTGATATGTGAGAAAGGTGATAAAACTGTGTATTCATTTTTTTCACAGAGGCAAAACTGAATATTTTACATCATGAGCAAATTGACTCAGATTTTTGTCCAACATTTCCTTCGAGTCAAACGTCTAAGGACTAATTTCAAAATTATCACTCTCATTAATACACTTTCTGATTATTAATTTACGAGACAATGCCCCAAAAAGCTGGTTATTCGTATCTAAGCCTTGTGGGATCGAACAAATGTTGTAGTGTTGGATTTATAAGCTGCATCCTTTAGTATAAAATCCCAACGAAACAACAAGGTGCAACAGCAGTAAATTGTATATCGGCATGAAATGGTGGAGGCAATTGACCTAGAAAGGATATTTTGTAAGTTTAACATCGAAAGTAAGACTATATACCATAGGGAAGCCATTAAATATGTTTTTGAGCGAAAGTTGATTGTACAAACACGTTCCGACAGTCGAAAATTTTTAGATATCAGTCCATTCAAGTTTTGTGCTCCCCTTGTTTCAATCATGTAGGAAGAGTGTTCAAATTTGAACAACTCAGTTTTGATTAGGTGCCGCTGCTTGCCGCCACATCCAATGAAATTCACAGACCTGAAACATAGAATATATGTATGAGACCCAAAGGTGTAGATAGGGTTTATTAAATCGAATCCTTGGCTAGAGAAAATGTGAAAGGAGATAAGCCTTCTATAACAACATCCAGAACATTACTTCTGCTATTTCCATTCACTTTCCTTCCACAACTAGTAACATGTTAACAAATAATTATTCAAAACATAGCTAAGTCAGTTTAATCCTTGAAATTTTCTAAATTTTGCTGTTAATCTTACTTTTCAGGCTCAACCGTCTGACACCATATGTTATAATTGTTTGTCAGAGTTCTTCCAGCCATAACACATTGAGGTGAAAAAAGAGGACTTCGCAAGTGATGTTGATGCTGATATTGTGTATAAAAAAGAAACGATACTATATTTGATGTTATAAATAATTAAAGAATAAGGCTTTACTTCTTAATATGTATTCTCTTCTTCTTTTATTTAAATATTCACAATTTCATTTTCCTACAGTATTGCTGATTTTGCATCATTGCAATCTTACAAACATGACAAAGCAAGACAATAATTCATCTGAATTAATTGACCTAGCCAAAAAAATATCGCAATGTAAAATTTTACCAAGCTGGAGGGCATGTGTTAGTAACAGCGGTGAGATGAATCCGAATTCTGATTTAGTACGTTAGCGATTTTGACTTGTTTCCCAGGCGCAGTTTACTGTTTTAAAAATGTCTTTCTCAGCAGACCAGGCGGTCCGGCTTTTGGCTCGAATTGAAAAGGGCTTCACGCCAGAGGCTGGCGAAGCCCTGGTTAAAATTGTCTAAGGGACTTGAAGTTGTGAGCCTTTGAGAGACACGTAACCAGGGGTGAAATGAGACTCTTCTGCTAAAAGGAAGATAGCGAACCTCAAAGCAAAAGGTAATGTGTTTTAATGTTACGCATAGTTTTTCTCGACGTTAATATTAAATAATTGTGACTTGATTTCTCTTGAATGATATATAAATCGCGTTTTCTGGGAAATGATTATTATTAGCTTTATAGGATGGTTCAAAATTGTGAGAAAATTGACGTGAGAAAAGCAACAGCAAATTAGGCCGCATTTAGTTTGTTTTATTAGGAAAATAACCTTCACGATTTATTTACGAGTGAAGGGATGAACGTAAGAGTAAACAATCACCAAGAGACTGGACGACCAAGAGAGGCCACTAAAAGCAGTGACACATGAGGCGGTCAGATGGAACACTAATATTTATGAGCAAGTTGACCCCAACTGACAAGCTGTGTTCATTTTGGAGAGTGACCACAACCACCTATCAGGTTATGAAGACGTGCAGGATAATTAAAATTCGAAATGCCCTCTCGATTTGGTGCTGAAATTTATTGTGCCTATGTAGACGGAACTGAGTTCGAAGATGGGTGACGATGGAATAGAGTTTAGATTGGTCGGTCCGTAATGTTTTGTTATCTGTTTTCTTCTTTTATATTAGACCATACTTTCTTTGCATGTAATTGGGTTTCTCAAATTAGAGTCATAAAATCCAAGCAAAACTAAGAACAAAACTCAACAAAAAAAATTATTAGCAAAGTTTTAAAGCAAATGAACTTCGACCGTTAATGACATTTTTAGCAGTTTTTCTTTAAATGTATCATTTTTTCTGTGGGTGGAAGAGGAATGATTGTCTTAAAATAAGAGACAAAAGTATAATGTCCTCGCATGGTTTCTTCTTTGTAATGGAATAAATAGTTTGTAATATATAATAATAATAATAATAATAATAATAATAATAATAATAATAATAATAATAATAATAATAATAATAATAATAATAATAATAATGATGATGATAATAATAATAATAATAATAATAATAATAATAATAATAATAATAATAATAATAATAATAATAATAATAATAATAATAATAATATGTGATGTGATTTGGATTTTACGCTACGATGTCTCACAGTGTGGCACTTCATAGTGATGTCTAGCACTGTGATATCATGTCGCAGACATGTAGCACGATGTCTCACCCAGTCACATTATCCTGACACCAGGCCGACCAGTCCTATCATTAAACTCGTAATACTGAGCGCCAAACGAGACAGCGGTTAGTGATGTGATGTGTTGTGATGTGATTATGATTTTTAACATAGCTTTAACAATTTTCCAGTCATATCGCTATGATGTCTGCAGTATAGCAGTTTATAGTGATGTCTAGCACTAGGGCATCATGCCCCAGACATGTAGCATGATGTCCCACCCAGTCACATTATCCTGACACCTGGCCGACCAGTCCTAATACTAACCTCTTAATGCTGAGCATCAAGCGAGGCAGCTATTAGTACCATTTTTGTAAGTCTTTGGTATGACTCGACGGGCGATCGAACCCACGACCTCCCGCATCTGAGGCAGACGCTCTAACCACTTGGCCACCTGATCGGTTCAACTGTTAGTACCATTTTTGTAAGTCTTTGGTATGAATCGGCCAGGGATCGAACCTACATTCTCCCGAATCCAATGCTGACGCTCTAACCACTAGGCCACCGGAAATAATAATAATAATAATAATAATAATAATAATAATAATAATAATAATAATAATAATAATAATAATAATAATAATAATAATAATAATAATAACTTTTCTGTAATTAAAGTTGATCAAGGAGTTAAGTAGTAGGCGTTACATATTTAGCTATTTTCGAACCTGGTCTAGGTTTTGTGTGACTTTCCTTATACCACAAGTAAATTTTTTATCGCCTTTCCTAATCTGAAGTTTTGACGATTTTCGTCCTCTGCATACTAATACAGAATTTATTTTTTAAAAAATTATTAAACAGACATATATGAATTAAACTGATGACTTTTAGGAAATTCTCTAATAATTATTTTTACAAGCGTACCAAGTTGTAAAAGGTATAGGTATAAATTCATATTATCGAGGTCAAATTTTAATTACGTCTCAGATCGCTAACTCGATTCTTACTATTACATCTGAAGGTAAATGACCGTCGACTTTAGCCAGCTTGTAATGTTAAACGGTAATTGAACTTTGACCGCTGGTGACACTTTGAGGTGGAGGAAGGGTAGTTATTTGCCTTAAATTCAGAACAAAAAGACAATGTCATCACATTTTCTTCCAATTAATGTGATAAATTACCTCCACTTAAATACGCCCATGATAAATGACATCATTTAACTGATATATCATCAGAAACAAATATATTTCGAGGAAATTATTAAATCTGTGTAATTTAGTCTATGTAATTATAAATCAAGATTTGTGTCACGGCGTCTGTTGAATTACCTAAAAATCTGAATAAATTTGTGGAGAAAATATGCAAATTAATAATAATAATAATAATAATAATAATAATAATAATAATAATAATAATAATAATAATAATAATAAATATGTTTTAATTAAAGTTATACAAGGAGTTAGAAGTCAACAGTTTCTTCTGGGGCACAAAAACAAATAACCTAATTAATTGAATCCAATGATGAAAAGTTACCAATTGTGTCTATTACCAGATCCATTCAAAATTCTATATTTACGTATGTATCTTCTTTTTGTAGTTTAGAAATTTAGACAGCATTTTTTGTTCCCATTGCCAACCAAACTTTACAAACCTCCCTAATAGTCTCTAATCCCTTTTGGATACGTCATCACCCCTTTACCCCACATCCTAGTGACACCATGGCTGCAGCACCGTTATGTTTATATTTATTTGCTTAACTCATATCTGCCCTATTGATTAGTTTCGCCCATGCCACTTTATCCTTTTAAGTTGAGATAAGCGTGCCCGTCTCTATTTGTCTGTTCTTAAACTTGTCAAAGTTTCTGTCCATTCATTTTTGTATTAATATGTTTACTATATCAATTGTTATCCATATGATGTCAGTTAATCAGATAGGAACTGAAGTAGTAGTAGTAGTAGTAGTAGCAGCAGCAGCGGTAGTAGTTGTAGTAGTAGTAGCTTTACTGGTGGTGTTGGTGGTCGTGATAGTAGTATTACAATGTTCAACCCATTACCTTACTTACTGAACGATTCTGTCTCTAAATCGAATCTTGTCCCGTAATGTTAATATACAACTCAAAGAGACGAGACGATTACGGAACACAATTTTACAAAAATATTTACTAGGACAAAACATTTAGGTACAAGTATTAAAATTGATATTTTCTCTAAATTGCATTAAAAGTAATTTTTACTTCATTATATTGAAAGTAATTTTCCACTAAAATATATTGAGATTTATTTTTTCTGTACTACAACTGTATACATTTTTAACAACGATTGGACAAAGACATTTCTTTATCTTATGAGTATTTACTTTTCATAGTAAGACATGACAATAATTTTATTATCAAAACCCCGTCATAACATATTTATGACATTGGGGATTATGAAAGAATGGATGAGACAGGAAAGCAAAATGACGGTCTTCAAGTAATGTGTTGTTGTTTGTTTGGTTTTTTTTGTTTTTGTTTTTGTTTTTTTACTTGAATCTATACATTGACAGGTTCAGTATTTAATGTTTATTTAAATCAAAAGTAACTAGCAACGACAATGCTTTTATGTTTACATAGGATTTTTACTCTGTTTTCGGTCTAAAAATGGTCTCTCGCCACAAGGTAGATTTGCTGACAATAATGTAAATGGAAGGCCGCGTTTTCGTTTTATATCAGTGGGTTGTGGATTTATTCTAAATTGTATTTCGATTTTTTAGCTTTGTACTGATTCAGGTCAAGAGTCATTATAACCATCTTCTAAGGTCACGTGAAAGAGTTTTACCCGATAAGCCTCACTACAGTTACTGCTATCGTAATGGGAATGCCTTGGAGTATAACACCAAATACTACTTTGAACTTGTTCTTTTCAATCGGTTTGTTTGGACTGACCTCAATGATTGCTCTAACGACGATTGAATGCCCTAAAAATTCAACTAGCTCGACAGTAGTGCTTAAGACATGGGAACAAATAGTACCTGACCGCTTCGGTAGCTTAGTGGCAAAGCGTACGCCTCGGATGTGGAAGGTCACGGGTTTAAACCCGGCCGAATCATACCAAAGACTGATAAAATTGGTACTAACATCTGTCTCACTAGCCTCAGCGCTGGTCTGTTTGGTATCAGGATAATGTGACTGGGTGGGGCATCATGTTAATTCTCTGCCGCATGAAGCCTCACTATATCACTATAAACTGTCACACTGCAGAAATCGTTTACGACATGACTGCAAAAGTTTTCAAGCTACGTTAAAAATCTAAATCACACACTCACACACACACACACACACACACACACACACACACACACACATGCACACACACATGGTATCATGGTACACCAGTCTGCACTTCAGTTCTAACGAGAGAATCACACAGACTGGCAATGTCGTGATAATCTGCTCATCTGAACTTGAGATCTTTTAATTTTTTTCCGTATTTTTTATATTATATATAATGCCCACTTACAGCAGTACAACTTGACAAGTTCCTGCGTTCATTGCTGCACAAATTTGCTCAAACAGAAATGTGCCCAATAGGTAGATTCAAAAGTGTTCACCATGTCACAGCAGTGTATTGGTCGCACTGCTAAAAGTCGTAAGACTGAGTACATTCTATGGGTTCCACTGACATTTCAATCGATCGATTATGTTGCTAAGATGAATGTTATAAATATAGTTCATACAGCAATGGCAGCCTATCGCAGTAACGATGTCACTGAAAGTTCCAGATTCAAAGTGCTCAATAATACGTACAAAAAACTTTTGTCGCTTACAACTACTTTCTCTCCGGTCGATCTTCCGTGACAAAGTTCAAAGAGGAAATTCACAACAAAATGTCAGCTGACTCATCGCCATACATACATATATGATACAGAATATATACGGCATCCAAATAATTTGAACCTGTCTCTATGGGCTTGGTACATACAATTAGCTGCTAATTTAGTCCTTCGATTCAATATCGCCTTCACAAACCGGTTTTATCACTCACTACTTTTATCTCAACCTGGCAATTTTCATCGTTTTTCAAAGCTGCCATTGTTAAGCCTCTGTTGAAGAAACTAACACATAACCTAAATGATTCAGAGAACTACATACCTGTTTCTAACCTCTCACTGATACTGTATGTATGTATGTATGTATGTATGTATGTATGTATGTATGTATGTATGTATGTATGTATGTATGTATGTTGGGCTTAACGCCATTTTCAGCACACGATAGGCTATTCATGGCGGCCAATATTAAGGTGGAGGAAGAAACCGGGAAATCACCGGAAAGAACCACCGACCCACGAGAAGCTGCTGGCAAGCTTTCTCACATATCCACATTCTCCGAATCTTAGACTCAACTCATGCAGACAGAGGTGAGATGGCAGTGATCCGTAACGGACAGCGCTTTAGACCACTCGCCCATTTGGGGCACCTCTTCTCAAGGGTTTGACGTATTGTCATTTAGATCTAGTACAACAATATCATGCTATCCATTAAACAATAATTTCTAGACGGTAGGCAAAACAAAACAAAATTTATCGACAACAATTTTATGTGATATCATGTGATGTGATTATGATTTTTAACATAGTTTGAATTTCTTCAGTCCTATCGCACGATATCTGCAGTGTGGAAGTTTATAGTGATGTCTAGCACTGGGACATCATGCCGCTGTTACATTATCCCGACACCAATCCTGACACTAACCACTTAAAACTGAGCGTAAAGCGAGGTAGTTGTGAGTATAATTTTTGTAAGTCTTTGGTATGACTCGACCGGGGATAAAACCCACGACCTCCCACATCCAAGGAGAATGCTCTAACCACTTGGTCATCGGAGCGGTTCAACAATGTTAAACCAAAATATAACGTAATCGTAGATAAAACTGCAGGTTTTAATGAAGATGGTATTTTTAAATAAAAAAAATCAAACGAAGATGATGATGAAATTGTTGACGTTGTTAAGAAAAAAATTTACAGTAGACCGACATCTTGACGATATAATGTTAAGTATTATATCGAAAAAAAAAATAATAAAATGTAAATTTGCTATTACATAAATAATTTTGCAACTTGCAAAACCTTTCTTAAATCTAAAAGTAACTTGCCAGTAAAAAAAATAATACTATTTTACTCTTAATAAATATTTAATTTGGTATACAATTGGTCTCGATAACTGTTTTGGTGGTGATTGTATCACAAGAGATAAAATATTCTTCGATTCTATCGTCTGAATATATATGTGATAAATTGGCGGCGTTCAAAACACGCACCAACCTTCCACTATGGTTCGCTGCTAGGGAATGACTTCTGTGGTGTAATTTACCCAGTGTGGATAGATAGAAAGACGAATGCAGATCTATGAACAAGTATATTGAAGAAATAAACACAACAAGCCTTCTTTCAATGAACGAATATAAAAATTAATCAGTTTGACAACAAAATTTAAAACGAAGAGAAATTAATTACTTGGTTATTAAGGAAGGAAAAATTGTACTAACATGTATTTCAATAAAAGAAACAATACAAATTCTCTTTATATAACTTGTCAGTGACAGAACTAATTCACTTCTTCATAGCCTACGAGATGTGACCTTTGAGTGCAACGATGAGAGACTTCATCACCTATTTCATGCAGACATCGAGACTTCCGTTCGTCCCTGCTCTGCCTATCTTTGTCTAGTTGTTTGGTCTTGGACTTTTGTCAGTCGAACTCTGATTTAACAATCGTCTCTGGACCTAGATTGCTGCTTAGAATTTACTTTGGTCCTGCGATTGGTTCAGGAATTTCCCAGAAGAATCCAGGAAAGCTGTTTTCCTTCAATAAAAAAAAAAATGTCTCGCAATAGACAATAGGTCACATTTCTAAGTATATCTACATTTTTACAATAATTCGGCTTAGAAAACAAAAGGCGTAAATTCTGCCGCATTAACTCCTTGCTCCCTAATTTCTACTTTTACATAGACGGTCAATGCTTGTCCTGACCTTAATTCGGGTCGCGCTAGGGATGATCCTTAAATTCCACTCTCGGCTCAGCCGTATGAACCCGTATTTAACACCCCTTGACTTCTTACTCTACTATCTAGCAGTGTTAAGTAACATATGGCTTAGACCCTCAAATCTAACAATTCTAAAATAGTTTATTCGATCAATTAAATATTACAACTAGTACATAGATATACACTTAAGTGATCAATTAAATATTACAAACTAGTATATGGATATACACTTAATATTATGTCATACTAGACAGAGTTTATCCATAAAACTACGAAAAATTAACCATCATTTATTATGCTTAATTCATGAAAATTCCTAAGCACTCCTATGTGTTAAAGATTCAATTACATGCAATCTTGTCAATTCTTCTAACGATCATTCCATTGCATGCAACCTTGTCAATTCTTCTAATGAAATTTTAGTTACGTTCGATCTTGTCAATTCTCCAAATGAATTGATAATTAGAAAATCAAAGAATAAAATGTCATGACTAACATTTCAAAAAATCCTGCAAAATGAAATCATACATACATACATCATATCATGAATACATTTGCAAATAAATCAACAAATGAAATAACATTAAAATCGGGAAACTAAGATTGCGTACCTTTTGTCGTTTCTTTGTACGTTTCCACGAACCTCAAGTATAGTCTGTCTCCTAACTGAGACAACTATCTGGCCCCTTACTCAATAACGAAAACATGCTTTCTACGAATTCGAAGGTAGAGTTTGTCTACTCGCTGAGACAATTTCTCACACTTTTCTGCCAAATCCCGAGATAACGTCTTTCACGTTTTCCCGGAGTCGACCCCTCTTCTTTCAAGAAAGGTTAAAGACAGAAGAATTTTTCTAAAGTAAAACCTTTAATTTCTTGCAGAGTTACTCCCATAAATCCATATTAACCAATCGGAATAGACTGTTTCCTAAATCTTTGAACAATCACTTATGGCAAGTTTCCCCCTTTAACCGGTTGATTTTGAGGAAGGGTCTTATGTCATGCTCTTGTACCATAGCATATGACTCGGTCAAGTTTCGTCAATTGGAACGAATTCCCTTTTGACGTTCAGAGATGAAATGAAAATAATCATCTATTTCTAGCCCTTTCTACTTTAATTAAGTTGACTTTGATACAATTCCTTTAACCAATGCTTCTAAGAGTTTTCAAAATTTGACACATCACAATATATATATATATGTATATATATATATATATATATATATATATATATATATATATATATATATATATATATATATATATATATATATATATATATATATATATATATATATATATATATATATATATACAGATGCAATAAACTGACGACGAACAGTACGAAAATAGTAACTAACTAGCCTAAGCGCTTTCGACTCTTAATGAGTCTTTTTCAAAGGCAAATACAAAACATAGTTACGACAAACAAATAAACACAAAAACGTTGTGTTTGTAAACCTCTACATTTCTGTCTTTACATGTGCTAACACTATAAATACAACCAGCTTGTATAGACTAGTTGCGGAAACTGAAAACGTGCTATTGCTAAACTATATTTGAGAAAACATTCAAGTTAATGAATAATTCTGTATTAGGTAAGACAATGGAAAATATTAGAAGAAGAGTCATGATTGAGAATGTATAGGATATAAATCGAAGAAGTAAATTAGTTAATGATGATGGTTTTGTTAGTATGAAAATATTTAATGAAAATCTTGTTGGCATACAGCGACGAAAGACAAATGTAAAGTTATATAAGCCAGTTTATGTTGGAGGAGCTCTACTGGATAAATCAAAGTGGCTGATGTATAATATTCACTATAGTTTTACCAAAAAGCAGTGGGAGATTCGGATTTGCTATTTACTGTTACAGACTCACTAGGTTATAACATATTAAGATTTAAGATGTATATGAGGATATTCCTAAACACAGTAACTTTTTTATTTATCGAATTATCCAGAAAGTAGTGGATTTCAGGATGATACAAAAAAGTTATTGGCAAAACGAAAGACGAAATTAAGTTTGTTCCAGTTAGAGAATTTATTGGACTGAAGGGTAAA